TCCTCTCGGTCCACCCTCGCTGAGTTGAAAACAATCTATAGATGGATTTCTGAGCCAGTGCAAGCCATTCTGTCTCTAGATCTGCTGTTAGGCCATAGCACCCTAGTAGAGCTTATGTTCTATGATTATTTTAGATTAGTGCTCTCCAACTTGGTAACCACTAAGCCAAATATGGTTTGAGGGCACTTGAGATGTGGTTAAGTCTGAACTGAGATTACATTAGAATTAGTTTTATCTTAATGTGACTACTAAAATTTTAAATTAAATATGTGTCTTATAAGATACTTATGTTGAATATCTATTTGGGGCTTAACAGTAAATTGGACTAAAATTACAATGTGCAGCTAAGGGATGTCTTTCCCCCATGGTTTCAGCACTGAACTGAAGCAGGGCTCAGGTAATACCCCTTAGAATCCAGGTTTCCTGCCCAAGGTTGGGTAAAGCAGGAGTGGAGCCAAAACCTAATCATCTACCATCGTTCTCTGACAGTGTTGAATCAACCATTGTTAGATTTCTGTAAAAGTATTAAGATTTCAATCTGGTCGCCTTTTTGATTCTCAGGCATGAAGTTTTGTCATACAAGTAGGACCTTTAAAAAGCCTTTTGAAAAGCCCGAGGGAGCAGAGAGTAGATGGCAAGAGCAGGGTCCTGTTTGGCAAAGGGTACATAGTTCACCCCCTGATCTGCTTCTTGCTCTTCAAACCCTTCCCACTCCCCAGAGGCAGGTGCAAGTGAGGGGTTGCATAAGAGACCAGAGCCCTGTCACCCTTCTTTGCTATTTTCCTTTATTATGACCATGCTTGGCCTGTGTGGTTCGACTGTAAGCTTCTTGAGGACAGGGGACTGAAAATTTGTTATCCTTTATTAACTGTTAAGTACAAAAGAATGTTAATTAACAATAAAATCAGCTCACCAGCACCACTGACTATTCCCCTTTCATAGCATACTTAGAAAATTATAATATTTGTACCTCAAGGAGATTCTGGCTGCCTAGCATTTCCAGTAGTCCATTCAGTAACTCCTTTGTTTAAGTGTACAGCATACCCCATTCTCAAATCATTGTATTGCCATCTGTTGGAAAGTTATTGTAATAAAAATGCAGGTCAGTAAGTGTTTAGAATGGTGCCTCCCTCTAGAGTTGTTCAGTGTACAACCTGCTCAACTGTTCGTGGTCATCCTGGGACTACCCTAGGACCCCTCTCCACCACCCAGTGGGCTGAGGGAATTAATAATATTTGAATAAACCTTAATCCATGAGAGGCACACCAGTATTTTAGGAAACTAGATAATTCTGTGAGCACTGAAGCCTTAATAGTAACCTCGAAAGTAGGAATTATTATAATCTCAGTTTTTCAGATGGGCAAGGGGGGATGAGATGTTAAATGATTGATTATTAGTTGGCAGAGCTGGAATTTGAACTTAAGCCATGAGACTGCAGAGCCTGGTTTTTAACCACAGCAATATATTCCTCTGGCAAACTTGTTAAAAACCACATCAGACGTAGCAGTTCTAAGTCCTGTGGCTCAGTCCATTGTAAGACCTCAGCCCCGAGTTCTTTGGAAGAGTCCATGGTATTTTTCAGGTTTTGGCAAAGGAAGGGGGATCTGTGCTCTCTTTTGCCAGTGCTTGTCTGTGTTGGGTGAGTGCTGTTTCTTCTCTGCATTTCATGGTGCCCTGCGGTCCTCTTCCCATCAGGTGGCTTGGCTTCTTCCAAGGGTCCCCATTCTGGTACTACACAGTGACCAGCCAGCACTGCTCCCAGCCATGTGGGTGGATCTGTCCTGCTCTCCTGTATTTCCTTCCTGCCTTTGCTAAAGCTTCGAGGACTATCTCCAAGACTACCCCTTCTTTTGGTGTCTGTTCTTTTTCTTTAACCCTAATTTCTTGAACCTCTAATTGCTGTTCTTCTTTGGAACATCTTTGCTCATTTTCTCTCCTGATTATTTTACTGATTTAGAAGGAAGGTGCCTCAGGGCAGGGATTGCCTTGTTATGTTGTGAAGCAGAATCTGAAGTGCTCCATAAATTAGCATCTGTAGAGAATTTCGTACATACTAATTATTATTATTGAAATACAGAAATGCTTTCTGAACCATGAGGAAGCATCTAGGATATTAGTCTAATTGCCTGTACGTGTTTTTAAAGAGGAAGAAGAAAGCCTCCCTTCCTGCCTGAGAGAGCTGTCAGGCCCAAATCCCTGCTGGCTTCTTGTTTCAGTGCTTTTGTTTTTATTCCCAGAACCATGTTTGCCAGACAGTGAAATGAAGTCCTGTTGGGCTATTTATGCTGGTCAAAAAAAAAAAAAAAAGGTAGATATGACCCCGGGCACCTGTCTTTACTTGGCTTTGGTCTGGAATCTGTTATTTCTTTAGCACACTTATAGTTAAGTCAATGGAATTCATTTTTGTGGGAGGGGGGACAGGAAGTTTAAAGCAGACATTTATCCTATGTTTGTGTTTACTGCCAGAGTGAATCAACATTTTTATTAGCATTTCATGATGGAATTGGAGCTTTTAAGACTTGCTGCATTTTAATGCCGACATATATGTCAGAAGATTCATTTATAGGGCTATTTATAGGACTATTGATCTTCTCCAGTGCTTGCTTTAAGAGCATACCTAGACGAGTGGTTAGTGAGGCCCTTTCTATCTGTCTAAATAACTTGCTTTAAAAATCATTATACTAAAATCTGTTGGCTTGATTTTCTTGGACATGAATTTTATTAAATGTATTTTGATTAACAATTTAATGAGTGTCCCTTTATGAATGAAATCCTGGTCAGAATAAATTGAAATGACCTTAAAATCATCAATTGAAGTTACCTGTACATCTGAAATAGAAAATAGTGGTGCATATTCAAAGAAACTTGTTTATCATTCATTCGACTGCCCTGAGTCTGAGGAGACAGTATAGTGACAGGGCCTTATTGCATTGTCCAGTTGCTCAGGGCATGATTGACACACTGGGTAGGTTCAAGATAGAGACAGGAAACCTATGTTAGCTTTTTACCTCTACATTTTACTTTCTGCAGAGACCTCCCCACTCTGAGACAGCCTCTTTAAACCACATTGCTTCAGGCTTTTGAGGGTAACTGTAGAACAAGTTGAATCAGAAAACAAGCTCAGCTCATTTTTTAGATGAATAATTTACTTTGAGGACTATATTAATTTTTTTCTATGTTATATAGAGGTATCCAGCTGCTCTGGAAGCATTTGGGCATTTTATGCCTTTAAAGAGAAGGCCCAGGATTATATTACCAATATACTGGACCGAGTCACAGGATTCAAGCTGCTGGAGAGCTGAGGGGTCTTCTCTCCTAGCGATCCTCAGCTTTGGATGCTCTGTAGAGTATCTTGGGGAGCTTTTGGAAGAGCACCAATGCCAGGACCATTCCTCCTCTGTTCACAGTTAGGAAAACTAAGACTCAGCATGGGGAATTGGACATACACACTCGGGTGCTATAGAAATCATGACGTTAGGAGTCTTTAGCATTATTCCCAGAGCCTAACTGAGATGCTCTCTTGTTTTGGAGTGAGAAGTTGTTAAATTAGATCACAAAGGGTGCAGAACACAAGCTGGGACCACATGACACTGTCATTGGCTTGGAATTATCTGCCCTGTAATAAAACTAAGTAGGACAGAGCCACCTCAGGACTTTCTTCATGTTGTCCATCTTGATGAAAGCCTTAATGTCAGTTGTGACAAAACTATAGTGTCAGTCTGGCTACGTGGTAGGTGCACCTCCTACCCAAGCTGGGGCTTGTTAGTTCAGTTTATGTATGGGAAGTGTTTTCAGCAAGACCTTTAGTCATACCTAGTAGGGGGAATGCAATAGCTAAGTTCTTTAATTAAGCACTTGTTAAATCAGTTTTCCGTGATGGCAGTGAGTTTAATTTTCAAACATACATACTTCAAAAGTTTTAATTAAGGGGATAGAACAGTAGTCAGTCATCTTTCTCTTCTAATTATTAGGGGAAGAAGCTCAGGGAGAGGTGTAAATATCATCAACATTTACTGAGAAACTATGATGTGGGGTCCCTTTAGTTAGGTGCTGAAAATTTTCAGCCCATGTCTTTGAGAAATGTTATTTTTTTTGTTCTGGGAAATTGTGTGTGTGTGTGTGTGTGTGTGTGTGTGTGTGTAACCTCTTGACACTGATTTGTATTTCTACTCTTCCTAAATATGAAGTTTAATAAATATTTCCTAATTACCATTTTCTTTTTTTACTTATTTATTTATAAATGGCAGCAGAATGCATTACAATTCTTATTACACATATAGAGCACAATTTTTCATATCTCTGGTTATATACAAAGCATATTCACATCAATTCGTGTCTTTATCCATGTACTTTGGATAATAATGTCCATCACATTCCACCATCATTTCTAACCCCATGCCCCCTCCCTTCCTGCCCTATCTAGAGTTCGTCTGATCCTCCCATGCTCCCCCTCCCTACCCCACTATGAATCAGCCTCCTTAAATCAAAGGAAACATTCAGCATTTGGTTTTTTGGGATAGGCTAACCTAATTACCATTTTCACAAATACTCTCAGAGAAGGCAGACAGCTAAATCAAAACCTATTTTAATACATTTGAATACAGCATGCATATGTTAATATACAATGTGTACATATTGTGGATGGGACATTCAGCACCTATGCTGCGCTGTAATATCTAAATGAGTGCCACAGGTAACAAGAAGATTTTTGTGAGATTGAGACAGTTGCTGTAAGATGCTTAGCACAGTGTTTGGTACATAGTAAATGCTTAACAATTCTTATTATTCATGAATCTATTATTATACCACCACTGCTATAGGAATTCATTGGAAAAAAAGAACTGGGTTAAGATTAGGGAAAAGGGAAAGCATAATTTAAGTAATGCATATTGTATCTATTTTACTTAACGTATCTTTTGCCTAAAAATTTCTCATGACAAACACTTTGGGAAGTATGGTATAATATAAATATGCATTAATAATATGGTCTCTTGCTTCAGGAGCTGTATATTGCTGTCGGAATATCTGGAGCTATCCAACATTTAGCTGGGATGAAAGACAGCAAGGTAATTGTACATAATAACTATGGTGCTTTGAGAAAAAATTTTCACTTTTTTTTTCCTTGTGGGTCTGGGGATTAAACCCACAGCCTACTTCCCGCCAGGCAAACGCTCTGCCACTGAGCCACATCCTCAGACCCATGTTTAGGTTTCACTGCATTTCCGTGTAGTTTCAGTGTGTATAGTTAAACCCTTCGTATTCACTTAAGCTGGGACTGAACGAAATAGAAGCCACTGTTTACCGCCTGAAGATGTTCTGCTGGCAGGACAGTCAGTGCTATGTCATGGGGGTGCCTGGCCCCAGTGGTGGCTCCACCACTAGCTTCCTACATGGCATGTCCTGTCTGGGCCTCAGAACACAAGTGTCAGGTGATGGCCACGAGCATCCTCTTCAGCTCTGACATTCTTTTTTTTTTTTTCGGTGCTGAGGATCGAACCCAGGGCCTTGTGCATGCAAGGCAAGCACTCTGCCAACTGAGCTATATCCCCAACCCTCAGCTCTGAGGTTCTGTGTGTAGAAAACATTAGGCTTCAATAGCCTGATGAGGTTCTAGCCATCTCAGTGGTTTGTGAAGTCATCATCCCTGAATCTCTCTTTGTCCCTTCAGTCTGTCCCCTAATTGTTCTACTCTCATATGTCAGGAGAGTCCCTCTTCTGGGTTATTACCAAACAATGTGACTGGCACATTTTGGGTTGGAGTATCTGGCTATTTTAATACATCAGTAATTACCAAAAGTGTGCTGTGAGACAGAACACTTGATTTTAACTCACTGCATGGACTACTTCTGAAAGTCCTGTGTAATGACTCTGTGAACATATATTTCAGAATATGACACATTAATTCATGCATAACAATGTACAGTTTGAATTATGAACTTATCTTTCATGAAGTCGGAGATGCCTCTGACACTACTGCATTTATCCATTCAGATGGAAGCTTGATATAAAAGATAATAAAACTTTTAACAGGCTTAACTTCTGACTTGAAGAAATGCATGCACTACCTCTTTGTAGCTTCTAAATGAATTGGTCCAAAACCAGTCAGATTTCACAGTTGGATGGCAGGTTTCTTTACTAAGCTCTGAAAACATCAGTGCCAATAGGGAAAAATGTGATTTATGCATTTAAAAAAAACCTTCTATACCAGCAGCTTTAAAATATATCTTCAGGTAGACCAGTTCAGACAGATCTAGAATTCAGTTTCCCTAAAATAAAAATTCTACATGCCAAGAAGATCCTGGTAAAAATTCTCTTCCCATGCCAACAGAGCTAGATTGTGAAATAAACAAACAATAGTATATGCAAAACAGAGAACAGTTGAAGTAAGGAGACCCATGTTGGGGGACAATCCATGAGAATAAAGTTCAGCTAAGACTTTGTTTCCATCCAGTCAACAAATATTTATTAACTATATTCCTTGTAATAGGTGCTAGAGATAGTTAAATGACAAAGACAGTCCCTGTTGTCACTTTCTTTTGTGGGAGACAGATGATTTCTAGTTGTTATTTTGGTTAGGTTCTAAAATGGGGTATTAGAATGGCTTAAATCTAGCAGTCGCATTGTCTAATATAAGCTGCAATTTTAATTATCATCATGGTTTACTTGAAAGAATTCAAGATTTGACTGTTACATCAAATGGGTCAATGTAATAAAAGCACTTTTTAACTATATACATAATAATATGGTTGAATATGATATGTGCATTTAAAAACTGTTAGGAAGAAGAGCTTGAATTTATAAGGAACTGTTGAAAGCTCTTAGATACAAGCAAGACTTTATCATAGTTGTTTACAGTTGATAATTCAGCAATATCATTTTAGTAATCTGAAAAATGATAAGCAACCCACATCTTTTTCCTTAAGTCACCATAGTAATTCTTTTCCACAATTAAGTGCTCTTTTAGAATAACTTTTGTTTAGTGGGATTAAAAAGCTTTCAGATGATTAAACTGGAGTTTTTTGAGTAGGTGACTTCCAGGAGAATCGTTAGCCATTACTAATTAAATAAATCTCTGCTTATAGCTGTGAAGCTGGCTATACATTCCCAGAAGAGAAACACTTAAGTGAAAATCAGTGCCTGTGATTTTAAGTATTTGTCCTTATGACTTTGAATTTGAGATTTATCTGAAACACCATTATCTCTTATTAGCCATTGCCTGGACTATCCTGTGCTTCAGTCTCAGATATTCTGGCATATTCTGCCCATCCCTTTGAGGAGCTCTGCTTAGGGAATTACATGTAGCCTGTATTTTAGGTCAGACTGTATCAAAATACTTAATATATTGATACTAGTGGTTTTCAAGATGCACTAATAGGTTAAAGCTTTACTTCTAGAAATTTGAATTATTCTGATATCTATTAAAATAATACCATATTTGAGTCAGAACTCTAATTTTAAAAACTTGCAGTGGTCTTAGAAGGATCCATGGGGAATACCAAATTACTACTACTTTTTTTGTTTGTTTGTTTTTTGTTTGTTTACAGTGCTGGGGATTAAACCCAGGGCCTTGTATATGCAAGGCAAGCTCCCTACCAACTGAGTTATATCCCCAGCTGTTGAATTACTTCCTCTTACTTCACTGTTAATAATCTCACATCACCTTTCATTTTTAAGAATACATTTATAAGAAGTGTGAGAAGTGTTTGACAAGTTTGTAAGAGATACAGCAATTTGCTTGTTTTATGACATTTTTTGCATACATAAGGACTTAATTTTTTTAAATTCTCCTTTAATAACAGGTTGACAAGATAGTTAGCTTTTTTTTCCTTAATATTTTTACATTTATGTGATGCTGAGGATCGGATCCAGTACCTCATGCATGCAAGGCAAACACTCTACCATTGAGCCACAACCCCAGCCCCAAGACTAGCTTTTTATTCTCATAACAGACCCATGATAATAATTTAAAGTAATAAATGGGACAGACTATATGGAGGACAAAATAGTTTGAACTACAATGGCTGTGAATTTGGGTATACACTTGCTACCCTTTTTTAACCCAAAACCAAACACTAGTTTTCACACAAAAAGAACTTTGTAAATAAATATTGATTTTAGGCCTGAGATTGTGGCTCAGTGGTAGAGCGCTTTCCTTGCATGTGTCAGGCACTGGGTTCAATTCTCAGCATCACATATGAATAAATGAATAAAATAAAGGTCCATCAACAACTTAAACACTTTTTTTAAAAACAGTGACTTTTAAACTCTTTATATTGAGACAAACTAGTGGTGAGTATGAGATAATCATGCAACCCAGAAACTTCTAATACATTTATAATATTGGCATAGAAGCATCAAATTCATATTATTTGATAGACATTTTAAGGATGTTAGTATGTTGTAAGAGGGAAGTGAAAAATAGAACCACCAATCTGTGTGGTATGTTTTCTTGATAAAAACCAAATGCTTTGTTTTTATTTCATAGACAATTGTGGCTATCAACAAAGACCCAGAAGCTCCAATTTTCCAAGTAGCAGATTATGGAATAGTTGCAGATTTATTTAAGGTAAGATGGACTTGAGAGAAATTACTGTTGTCCAGATTGTCATCTAAGAATCTCTTAGAGTTGGTGAGGGATGAAGCTATTAAACAAAGACTGTGTGTTTGTGTACATACTATTAATATATCACACATTTTTTCCTCTACTTAAAGTTAAGTTGCCCAAATAAATATGTGTTGCTAATATAGGGCACTGTAACTGTCCCTTTAAGGAGTCCAAATTGTCTTTAGAATATCCACATGGTTCTCGGCATCTCACTTAGCACACAACTCAAAGTGACTGGAGTCGCCATCACCTCGAATTGTATTTGGCAGCCACCCTGAAAAAAGACCATCAAGGCCACTCACTCAGGGTTGCTGAGAGTGGTGGAGCCTTTCAGGGGAAGAGCAGGTGCTTGAGGCCAGCATATCAGGAGTGCTTTGCTTGCTGTGTTTGAGGGTAAAACCTTCCACATGTAACAAGCTTAGAGAGAGTACTTCCTTCTCGCTCCTCACTCTCTTCACTTCTGAGCTTTCCTCTTACCCTGTCATCACCTCTCTATTTGCTTTCCCACAAGAAAAACATACTTTAATCATTAAGCTATTTGTTCAAGTAGCAAGAATTTAGTTCTTACTACGGTGAGAATAGAGGGGTAAATATTTCTATTATTTAAAAGTGAAATGAAATTTTCTAAACCCTGACCATGTACCATATTGACATGTTTGCAAATAGGCATCTGCTATGGTTGCCTTTTGTTTTCTACAAGAGGATATTTCAATACATTTGTAAGTGATTTTGCTTATTTAAAGGTGTTTTTCTGTCTGCCAGTGCACTATGTATTGCAGCTCTCGTGGGGGGCTTACATGATAAATAGATGAAGTGTCTAACAGTTGGAAATTATCAGTGTTCATCCAGTGGATGGATATCTGCCTTGGGGCAGGAGCGTATTTTTAGCAGTTGTTGAGGGAATGGCACTGGACCCTGCCTCCTGCATTAAAAGCAGCCCTCAGTTTTAGCAGGAGAGAGAGAAAAAGGAAAGAGAAAGTCTGTGAACTCAGATATCTCAAATGAAAGAAAGTCCTAAGACAGCAAAGTGAACAGGGACCTTGAAACTTTCCACAACTGGATTTCCAACCTCAGGTTCTCAAGCTCTTTTCAAGCTCTTTTTGGTGTCGTAAGAGACCCACATTTGACTAGAGAGAGACTGTTGGGACCAACACAGCACCTTATTTGGGTTTGGCTAGCATTGTATGAAGGCAGCAACCACCCCATGCTGCTCAGAAGTTCTTTCTATTTTTGTTTTGTGGTACTGGGGATTGAACCCAGGGCCTCATGCTAAGCAAGATCTACCACTGAGCCACATCCCTGACCCTCAGAAGTTCTGAAATGCAGTTAAGATGTTTTGGATTAATACAAAGGTAGAGAAGTTACTCAGCCCTTAAAATGGAGGTTGGAAAAAAAAAAACAAGTTAATGACTATGAACATATTAAAATACTGCTTTAAGTACAGAGTCTCATTTACTACTACACAAATAAAACCAGCCAGGCATGTGCTTCTTTTTCTTGGCGGTATTGGGAATTGAACCCAAGCATACTCTACTACTCTGCCCTTTTAAACTTTGTTTTGAACCTGTCTAAATTACTGACATTGGTGCAAAATTATGATCCTCCTGCCTCAACCTCCCAAGTCACTGGGATTACAGGCACACACAACCAAGCCCAGCCAAAGAGGATCTAGAGTTAATTTTGTGTAAAAATTTTAAATTGCAGACTATCATATGTAACAAGTATTAGACTAATAATTAATAATTAACAGTTATTAGACTAATAATTTCCAAGGTAATATTTAGCTCACCAAATGTAACCATATAAAGAATAAAAATTAGTATGCATAATATTTTATTCTTTTGTATTTACTGTTTTACTTCACCCTTCAATAATCAGGAATTAGAAAGGACAGGTTTCACACCCCTTCATAAAATATGAGAAGTATATGATACAGAGATTAAGAGCTTCAATTCAAATTCTCTGTTGGTCTCATACTAGATAAATGATCTTGGCCAGGTTAGTTAATCTCACTAAATGTCAGTTTCCTCCTTTGTAACACAGATACTACACTGCCCACCTTAAAGTGTAGTATTATATAGTACCCAATACAGTCTGTGATAAATATTAGCCTACCTGATTATATTCTCTTCCATCCAGGTACATAGTAAGTGCTCAATAAAAATAATATAAAAGGAGTTAGAGTGAGGGGGCATAGTGTACTACCTGACTTTGCTTTTAATACAACAGCTTTACTGAGATATAATTCACATGTTATAAGATTCACTTTTTAAAAATGAATGAGTGGTTTTTAGTATATTCACAGAGTCATGCAAACTACTATCTAATTTCAGTACATTTTTTTATCACACTGAAAAGAAACCCCATACCCACAATACCTATTCCCATAATCTCCCCAATTCTGAGCAACCATTAATTTACTTTCTGTCTCTGTAGATTTGCCAGTCCTAGACATTTCATGTAAATGGCATCATATACTATGTGGCCTTTTTTGGTTGACTTCTTTCACTTCACATAAGTTTTCAAGGTTCGACTGTGTGCTAGCATGTGTCAGTAATTTCTTTTTTTTGCCAAATAATATCCATCATATGGATATGCCACATTTTGTCCATTCATCATTTGGTGGATATTTCAGTTGTTTCTACTTTTGACTATTATGGATAATGCTGCTATAAACATTTGTGTATAAGATTTTGTGCATGCAATTTTTCCTTTGGGGTATATGTATAGAAGAAATAGAATTGCTGGGTCACACATGGTAACTGTATATTAACTGCCAAACTCTTTTCAGAATTGTTCTACCATTTTACATTCCAATAAAATATATATAAAGACTCCATTTTTTCCCATATACTTGCCAACACTTATTATTGTCTGTCTTTTTGATTGTAGTTGTGAATGTGTGTGTATGTGTATGTGTGTGAATGAGATAGAGAGAGGAAGAGAGAGACAGAAGTGGTATCTCACTGTAGTTTTGAGCTCCTTTTCTCTCGTGGCTAGTGATGTTGAACTTCTTTTCCTGTGCTTATAGGCTACTTGGTTTGTTTTCTTTGTAGAAATGTCTATTCAGATTCTTTGCCCATTTTTAAATTGCATTGTCCTTTTGTTCTTGAGTTGTAAGGGTTCTTTACATATGCTGGAAACAAGTTCCTTATCAGCTAAATGATTTCTAAACATAAGCATTTCTCCCATTTGTTGAGTTGTCCTCACATTCTTTATGACATAAACATTTTAAACTTTGATGAAGTCCAACTCATCTATTTTTTTTTTTTGTCACTTGCACTCCAACAATTATATCTAAGAAACTTTTTCCTGATCTGATGTAGTGAAAAGTTTCTGTTCAAGTGCCTGTTTTCAGTTCCCTTGGGTGTATCTCTAGGAGTAGAATTGCTGGATCATAGGGTAATTCTATGTTTAGGGTTTTGGTGGGGTTTTTGTTTTTTTGTGGATTTTTTTTTTCCGAGAGAGAGGATCTAAGTTGCCCAGGCTGGCCTCAAACTTGCCATCCTCCTATCTCAGCCTTCCAAGTTGCTGGAATTATACGTGTGTGTCACCATGCTCCCAACTATGTTTAACTTTTTGAAGGACCTCTGATTTGCCTACCATAGAGATTGCACCATTTCACATTACTTTACTACTAGCAGTGTACAGCTGTTCCAGTTTTGCCACATCTTTACCAACACTTGTTATTTTCTGTTTTTAGATTATAGCCATCCTAGTAGGTGTGAAGTAATATCTCAAGTTGTAGTTTTGATTTACATTTCCCAAATGTCTAATGATGTTACGCTTATTGGCCATTTATATGTCTTTGAAGAAATGTCTAAGGTCCCCACCTCCCCACCCCCCCAGTACTAAGGATCAAACCCAGGGCCTTGCACTTGAGCTACATCCCCAAGTCCTTTACCCATTATTTAGTTGAGTATATCTTTTTTTTTGTTGACTTGAAGGAGCTCTTGATATTTTCTGAATACTAAATCATTACCAGATATGTGATTTTCAAATATTTTCTCTCGTTTAATAGATTTTTTCAGTTGTTGAATGTATAGTTCTCATTTTGACAGTGTTCAAGTTAGCTATTTTTTCTTTTGTTGCTTGTACTTTTACAGTACATTTAAGGATCCATTGCCAAATCAAAGGTAATGACTATTTACCCTGTACTTTCTTCAAAGAGATTTAAAGCTTTAGCTCAAATATTTAGATTATTGGTCCATTTTAACTTTTTTTTATATGATGTGAGGTTGGGGCCCAGTTTTATTCTTTTTGCTTATGGATATCCATTTGTCCTCTGTTGAAGTGTCTATTCAGTCCCCATTGAATAAACTTAAATTAAGTTGCCTCTTTGATTTTAGTGAGTAGTGACCTGCCTCTGTAATATTAAAAAATAAAAAAGGAAAAAGAATCTAGACTTTCAGATGCCCAGTGCATTAGACACTCAGTGAACCTAAGTTAAAATATTTCTTTTCCCTAAATAAGACATTGTTTGGTATCCTTGGAAAATTTGAGGTTGGTATAATTTAAAAAGTGTAATGATGGAAAGAGAAAGTCCCCTCAACCCTTTTGTGGGCAATGTGATGGTGGGACATTCTATAAGGTCTTTTTCTCTCTTTTTTTTAAATTTATTTTTTAGTTATAGGTGGACACAATACCTTTATTTTATTTTTATGTGGTGCTGAGGATTGAACCCAGTGCCTCACACATACTCTACCTGTGAGCCACAACACCAGCCCCTCTATAAGGTTTTTAAAAATTGTGTATTCTACCTGTGTTCAGTGGCACACATCTGTAATTCTATCGACTTAGGAGGCTGAGGCAGGAGGATCATGAGTTCAAAACCAGCCTCAGTAATAGCAAGGCACTAAGCAACTCAGTGAGACCCTGTCTCTAAATAAATAAAAAATAGGGCTGGGGATATGGCTCAGTGGTCAAATGCCCCTGAGTTCAATCCCCAGAACAAACAAAAAAAAAAATGTGTATTCTAATCCAAATTAATGTTTCACCTCCTGGGGAAATAAATTGGGCTCTAGCCTATTTTTTTGCGAAAAACATTGATCCCACATGAGGCTCAGTTAGCATGTCATCTGTGTGACTGGCATGAGCTCATGGTCCCTCCACTGAGGAAAGCCAGGAGAAGCGGTGCCAGCACTTAATGCCACCCCTGAGCAAATGCCTGCTGGCTCCATGGTAAACATGGGCCTTTTAATAGGCTGGAGACAAAGTGACATTCGGAAGAAACAACATGTCGACAATTTCCTTAATAAATTTTGTACGAACACATTATTTCCACCTAATGGAAATGTAGCTCTCTTAAATAATTGAGAGGCTATATTCATCAGTGGCAAGTTCAACTGGGATCTTTGTGAGCTAGGGCAGCCGACAGCCCCTTGCAAGACTGGGTAATTGATATTTTACACAAGTGGCTGGGCTGGTGTTCAGAATGTCTGTGTGGCATTCCCCTGCAGTTCCCACGTACAGTTCACTCTGTTGTCCAAGCCATCACAAAGCAGCTCCAGACTGGGAGTGCTAGTAGTTACTGAACTGCCAAGACTAAGGATTAGTAATTAATAATTTTAAAAATAGGAATCAACTCAGTCAGTTTCCCTTTGCTGTAATTTCTATTAACCCAGGGGCATTTTACCATTGAGCCACACCCCCAGCCCATTTTTATTTTTTATCTTGAGACAGGGTCTCGCTAGGTTGCCCAGAGCCTTGCTAAGTTGCTGAGGCTGGCATTGATTTTACGATCCTCTGCCTCAGCCTCCCGAGTTGCTGGATTACAGGTGTGCATTTATTTATGTGCCACATGATAGTAATGTGCTCAGAAAGCAACTGAAATGTTTAGGAAATAAGTATGAATGAGTAAATGAACAATGAGCGAGTAAGTGCTAGAGGATATTGGCAGGAGTCCTGACTAAGACGGTGACTTTGGTGTGGACTTTGAAGGGAAGTGGTGAATGAAGTAAGGGTAGGAAGAATGCGGGGAAAAACAAGAAGGTAAAAAATACACCAGATACAGAGGTTCCCCTATAATCTCAGCTATTCAGGAGGCTGAGGCAGGAGAATTGTAAGTTTGACACCAACCTCAGCAACAAAGCAAAAAAAATAATAAGAATAATAAAAGGGCTGGAGATGTAGTTCAGTGGTAGAGTGCCCCTGGGTTCAATTCCCAGCCAAAAAAATTTTTTAAATTAGAACAGCACTGTGGTTGTGGTTGTGTCAGAAAGGCTCCTAGGCATAAGTGTGTGGGCCCTGGGCGTTGCCAGCTCAGGGGTTTGTACTCTCCCGCGGTGAGCGGGGAGTGGTACTTGATACTCAGTGTTGTACTCTTTTTAAAATTTTTTAAAATTAATTTTTTAATTTGTTCTAATTTGTTATATATGACAGCAGAATGCATTTCAGTTCATAGTACACGATGGAGCACAATTTTTCTGTCTCTGGTTGTACACAAAGTAGTCACACCATTCATGTTGGCATACATGTACCTAGGGTAATGAGCGTTGGACCTTTTCTGGTGGCCTCCACGAGCTGCCAAGAGCTGGGGATCTGTCACAGTGAAGGCTCTAATTGCTTATTACTGCTTTTTTTGTTTATTTGTTTTTGCAGGTGGTTCCTGAAATGACCGAACTATTGAAGAAAAAATGAATCATGCTCATGTGTCGAGAAGGAACGCTATGTCAGAGTATTCAACTGAAATCACAGAAATTTACAATTTGATGAAAAAATTTAACAGCAGCCAGATGCTTTTTATGGGATTATTATTATATTTCTTTTTAATTATGTGTAGTTCCAAATAATTATTTTTTGAAATTTTCTAATTCTGTAATAAAATCTGTAATAAAGCCTTAACTACAGCTTTAAAGCTACTATCAGAGACATGCGCAACTTCTTAAAGAAAGAGAAGAAAGGGAGTGAAAGTCCACTTACCATTTTTCCTTCACCTGTCTTGTTCGTGGAGTGCTTTGTTTCAGGCAGATTCTAAACATGAAAGTTCCCACCAGCCTGATCAATATAATGTAATTATGGAAGGACGTATCTCATAGGAGAAGGGAATGAGGTTGGTAAACCCAGAGTTTAAAAGCTGGCTACAAAGCAGGAGTATTACCCTAAACATACCCCAGTCTTCAGAAACCATTGCTAATGTGACAAAAGCAGACCTGACTTAAATCTGACCTTGTTGAATGTATTTAGTTGGCTTAAGATAAATTTAATTTTCCAATTCATTTTAAGATTTTTTCAGTTTTTATGACTTATGTCTGTAAAGGAGGACAAGTGGAGGAGGGGCTGCTTTGAAAGCATGACCTCTTATGCAAACAGATAGTTTGATATTATTATAAATGTTTAAAATCCTGCTCAGAGAATGCTTTGCTCTTTCCTCTATGCTCCTGATGGCCTCCTTCGTGCTCTTGAGAAAGCAGCCAGGCCCGGGAACCAGCCTGTGTGGTCACCTCTGGCACTCTCTGCTGCCCTGGGGCACAGCCCAAACCTGGTATGGCAGGGGCTACAAGCTAGTGGAGTGCAGGTATAAGGACAGGGGCAGGTGAGCCTTTGGCCAGGTCTGCAGGAAAAACGTGGACAGCTATATGAAGTCACAGAAAGACCAGGAGTTGACTGGCAAATAGAATAAAGAGAACTATCATCAGGGAGTAGGAGAGATGGGAAACATGACGGTTAAGAAGCAGCCCCAGTAGAAGGTGTGCTGGCTCAGGGAGGAGCATCCTGGGCGGTGCCTTTGGCTGGTTCCATGCCTGCAAGTTGAGCTGGTCGGTCCCTCTCCCTGTTGCTCACTGTTGTCATGGCTGCCCTAAGCTCAGCCCCAAGCAGCTGTTCAGTGAACCAGCATTTACTGCATACAGTTCATTATCATCATCAGAGCATTAAGAACAGTCGTGTCACCTAAGGAAGGGGTAAGTTCTGAGAAAGGTGGTGTTGATTCATCTTTGTGTGACTCTGCTAGTGTGCACTCACACACCTAGATGCCCTAGCCTAGCACACACCTAGTGTATGTCACCACATGTGTAGCTTTTATACGGTGCAGCACAATAGATTTCTTTCCACCAGCATCACCCAAACACATGAGTAGCATGTTGTACTGTGGTATCCCATGTGATAGGGATTTTTCGACTCTGTTGTAATCTTATGATACCCCTGTCATACATGCCATCTGTCACTAACTGAAACATCACCATGCACTACAAAGCTTTGTAGTGGTTGCCATGTGCCAGGTGCTGTTCTGGCTCTTCACACATGTGCTGCTCCTTCATCCTCAGTAGCACTGTATAAGTCAGATGCTATGACTACCCTGTTTTACAGATGAGGAAGCTGGGGCTCAGAGAGATTATATAACTCACCCAAATTCAGACAACCTAAAAATGACCCAGAATGTGAACTAGGAAGTCTGGCTCCATTGTGGTGACTTTGTTAGGGTGTGATTCTCCCCCACCTCCTCTCAAGGGACAGGGAGACTTGCTGCATGGTAACCTCAGGTAAAGAGCACCAGTGCTTTCTGCCAAGTGTGCGGAGTACATTTGGGACCCTGGTAGAAAAGGAGAGACAGTGTTCTGGGATGGTCTCACCAGCAGGATTTCATGCAACTTGAAAGTTCTCTCAGTGCCCAGTTAGATTTACCTTCAAAAGTCAGTCATGGGGGGCTGGGCTTGTGGCTCAGTGGTAGAGTGCTTGCCTGGCATGTGTGAAGCCCTGAGTTCAATCCTCAGCACCACATATAAATAAGTAAATAAAATAAAAGATCAATTGACAATTAAGAAAAATTTAAAAAGTCAGTCATGGGGGACTGTGGTTGTAGCTCAGTGGTAAGTGCTTGCCTAGCATGTTCCTAGCATGTTTGAGGCACTGGGTTAGATCCTCAGCACCACATAAAAATAGATAATCAAAATAAAGTTGTTTTTTTTTTTAAAGTCAGTCAAGGGCGGGGGCGGCAAATTGTTGAAATTCATATATCCCAGAAGGTGCAATTTGAGGCACTTTTTCTCTGTTTTATTGGAAATCAAACTCCGTTCCTGCAGGTCCTCGGTGTGAACAGTACATACAGAGAGCGCTCCCTTTGTGGGTGGGCATGGCCCTTCCTCATGGATGGAAGAATGCGGGGGAGTGGGTAGAAGTGGAAACTTAACTGAGAGCTCACATGGTACTCAAGGCAGTGAAGGGCAGAAACGTGGCAATCGCGTGTTGGTTGGGAGTGATGGTTGAGACCAGTTTGTAGAGGACATTGACTGACAGGCTGAAGAGGCATTTTTCCTCATAGATCAGTGTTTCTCAGATTTTGTCCTCAAGGTACATTGCATTTCAGAAGCAGGACCAGTGATGGTAAAACGAAAGTCATACCACAGACATCTTTCCCTGATTTTTAAGAAAAGTTCATCAAAATGTACCCATCTTAAGTTTTGCATAATTTTAAACTCTGCTACCCCTTGTCTCCTTTGGAGTGTGAGCAGATCCCAAAGTGAATGGACAAAGGGCAGCTGATATTAACAAAGGTCAGCAGCCCCTGGCCCTTCACAGCTCTTGTTTTGTCTTATGGACATATGGGTGACTTTGTGGAATACTTAAAAATACCTTCTGCTAGATCCTTGTTTGCATGGCAGAGTTAAATATGTCAGTATAGTGAGTGTTCCACAAAGAGCTGCAGGCTTTCTGAGGCCCTGCCACCTGAGCAAGTCTTAAGAAGCACTCCCTGGCAATAGGGAGCCATTGACAGTTTTTGAGAAGGCCCTTAACCTCATCTGTGGGAAGCCATTCTTGCACGTGATTGGGCACCTCCCGGACTGGGTGTGAGGCGCTCTGGCCAAACTGTGTCGGAGCTTTCCCCCCCTCTCCAGGTGCTAGAGCCTGTCCGTGTGGGGGTGTGACTGACCACTGACCCTGAGGCCAATCACTGACCCTGACCTTGGAATGCTGCCCCCCTGACCTTCATTGGATGGAATTTTCCCCTGAATTTCTTGTTCCCCAATAAAAGGCCACTCCCTGGTGTGCTCTCTCCTGCTAGCCCTGAGTAAGCCTTGCTGCCCTACCGGGTGGTTCGAGGTATGAGCCAGAGAGGTGAGAGCTGTCTCGGACCTGGCCATAGAAAAAGGTAATTGAGTCTGTGTGTTTTATTTTGATCTCACTAGTTAACTTTTATGCCACAAACCTCTTTAATGAAACCAGTGTGCTGGTCGCCTGGTGGACTCATCTAGAGGAGTACCCACCCTGGTGGTATACTCAGGACAATGGTGAAGGAGGAGAAGGTGGAGGCACACCTAGGAGGCTCTCGCAGGAATCCTTTAGCTTATGTCCTGAATGCGTTTGACTAAAACCTCTTGGGCTACAGATGGACCTCTGGAACCCATGGAAGTGGGTCCAGCGTTGTGGGTGAGGTTTGCAGAGAGCAGGGCTCTCCCTCTAGAGCATGGGTGTGTCTGGGCTGGGCTGGAAGCTGGAAGCCCAGCCATAAATGCACTTTATGTTCTCCCTCTGAAAGGGATGGTCGGCTTGGCTGCTTTTCACGCTGACTCTGACTAGATGTTTTGTTGTGGTCTATGGAAAGGTGGGTTGAAGAACCTGGGGAACCTAGAGAACCCTATTGATGGTCACAGATGGATTTGGTAGCCAGAGGCTTGGCTGATAACCTTGTGAAAAGTCCACAGAGGATGATACACTGCTTCAATTTCACATGGCCCTCGGGTTCTTTAATTTTTGCAGAGAGCCCAAATGAAGAAGACTTCCAGATAATCCTTAGTGTACAAAGCACTTTTATGACTGGAATCCCAGTGGTGGGTGGAGAAGAGGAAATATTCAGATCAGGTACTGAGGCAAGGAAGCAGTTTTCTTCAGGGCACGGAGCAGGTAGTAGAATTGGAACAAACCAAAATTTTTAGCAAATGTTACTTACTAGGAATTCCCTATGTGTTGGGTATATTATGTGCCTTTATTAAAAAAAAAAAAAAGATCTCCAAAGTGAGTGTCACCACTCCTACTCTGTAGATGAAGAAGTGGGCCTAAGGGGTAATGACCAGAGGTGCTGGAGGAGCTGTGGGCCCCCACTGGTCTCCAGCTCTGGGGGATTTGGCCTTTTCCCCATCCCTGGCTGTCTCTCCACACCCCAGCTTCTCCAGGGCTCCACTGTTTGGTGTGCATTGCCTCAAAGCAGCAAGCTTGTCACTAGAAGCAAGGAGCAGTAGTGGACTTAGGATTTACTGGCACGCACTTGTGTGGCATCTGCAGTGTGAGAAGGAGGTCCTTGGAGGCTGCCCGGCCCCGGCTTCACCTCCTTCACCACCCATAACAGGTCATGTGGATCAAGGCAGGTTGCTGCTCCCTTCTGAGGGCTCTCTGTGAGCTCATGATCCTTTCCCAGTGTGGGGCTTCATGGGAGCCTTGAGCTGGTCACCAGGACACTTGGGTTCTCATCCTGCCTCTTGTACTGCCTCAGAGACACCCTGGCCTCCTTCCGTCTCTTTTCAGGTTTCATTCTCTTCATGTGTGAAATGGTGACTTGAACTAGGTAATCTTTAAGCCTTAACTTGTGAATGTGCAGGCAGATCTCATACAGCCTGGGTGGATGGAGGGAATAATAATCATTTTTTAGAGCTTTTTATACCCAAGATGCTGTGCTCAGCCCTTTATATACAGGCTCTCATTTAATATCATGGCTTTAACAATGTGTAGTGTTGATTCCCACCTGGCAGACAGGAAACTAAAGCCTGTATAGCTTACAGCACCTGCTAAATCTGCTGCCAACCACATGCCACATCCTGAGTCCTCTATGGAAGCACAGAGGACTTCCTATTCCAGCTGAGCTGGGGTGGGCTGAAGTTTAGGGACCAAGGTGTAGCAGCATAGTCAGGCCAGAATGGCTGTCAAAATCAACCAGAT